GTTTTAGAGGGAAAGATAATTACAAAACTAATGGACTTGGCAATGAAATCTGCATTTATTTTTTGTTTTTGAACTTCTGGTGACTGCATTATGCACAAGTGCTGCATATATTTGCGTCGCTCTGTTCATTTTTTAAATGTTGCGACTTGCCAAACATGCCATTTGCAACTAACATAACATGAATCGTTTAAAGTCTCCTTTCATATTTTTCCCACTCATCGAAGGATACATTTAAATTAGACTCAAGTTTTTGCCTAAAATCAGAAAATGTTGAGAGGTTTGGATAAAGTTACTTAGATATCAATGTACTGAAGTAATCGAAAAGGCCTAGTATGTTGGCCAAGTATTAATGCTCTCCATGTTTATTTTACAATTTAAGGGTTTCAGCAGGCCGGTTGTGGTGATCTCGAAAAGGTAAATGTTCCATTGCAGTCCGTGCAAACTAAATTGCCTAGCAGCATATGTCTTGGAAAATATGGTTAGTGGATAGGAATTAAATCGCATTTATGTCTGCTTTTGGAAACTGCGTATAAAAATAAAGTATTGAAAAGTCGGCAACGATGGGGTGAACGTAGGGTGGAGCTGTCGGTATACTGTAAATCGTGTCGCACGGGAATAGTGCAAATGAGGGATTTACGGATGGGGCAGCACGCTGGACAGCAAGCAGGAAAACCCAGAAGACGATCGGTGGAAAAAATGATACTTTTGAGTAAAATGAGGAATGTGTGCAGACACGGTATCCCGCTTAATATTCCATGACGTCATATCTTGAGAGAGTGCCTGAGTATCGACCACCTGAGCCTATCCCCTGGCAGACATTTCCGTTATCCCAGAATTCCTGCTCAGTCGATCTGCGTTTTTAGTTTCTCTGCTCGTAGGCGTAACTGCCAGTCATCAGTAGTTAACTAGATTTCGCAAGTACATATATAAACACACGATTCACAGTCTGCCAATAGCTAATTAGGGTCCTTTCCCCTACCGTTGCCCAAATGCCTATAGAACAGCAAGACGCCAGTCACTTCTGAAAGTCTTATTGCAACTGCAGATTTGGAGAAAATATTAACAAAGCGAAGAGGGACTGAACCCATCATCAGAGACGGTGGCAGAAAAGAGTGACTCGTGCACGGGAGGTTGCGGTATTTAGAGGACGCAGTCGCTATGCTACTGCATACCTGTAGTATGTAATTAACGGCGCTCCCCTTCATCAAGGATTGTTGCCCGCTGGTGAGCTAATTGTTTGATGGCCAGCATGCAAGTTGTTAATTGCTGAAATCTCATTACCCGTGTTGGATGCTTGCATGATGATTGCTCGGCCATCTGGATCACCGGCTTGCGCGCTCCCAGAGGGGTTAACTACTGTAGCCAGCCTATGCCAAAGTAACCATAATCTTCTCAATACTGATTGTTACTCCAGAGATTGTTCTACCGAACCGAAGTGGTCCACGCTCCGTTGCATGTCCGCTCCCGTCGTGTTGTTGGCCACCCAATCATCCTCGAACAGAAGCTCATGGAGACTGGTAGCGAAGACACACGTGAGTGGGGTAGATGAATGGTAGTGAAGAGCTTGTTGATGGCTCAGTGATTCTTTTGAAATCCACAGTGATCGTCAGGGGGGAAGTTCGTACTCCGGATGAAGGTCGCGGTCCACGATTATGCTGTGGTGTTAAGGATAAAATATTTCTGTAGGTGTCACTTAACAGCTGGCTACCTTCAGGGATGTAGGGGTTTCCATGTGAAGGTCGTAGTGGGTCGCTCACTTGCCTGCAGGTGTTCGTCACGCCTAGGGTCCATTAGCTGGGCCCCAACTATCACTCGTGGCTCCCCGAAGCTAGGCGCTGTCTAGCAGCCACAATGCGGTAACCGCCTCGGCCGGCGGGCTAAACCAGGTGAGGGTATGCGTGTGCATATCATCGCACACGGTAATTCTGCCTCCCTCCCACCGCCTCTGGCCGTACAGTTCACCGGATCACTATCTCCGTCTGCAGCCCCCTGGGGGTCATAAAGCAAGTGACACTCGGGTAAGCTGAGTATTGCTTGGTTGTCTTCCCTGCTCACCCATGCATTTCAGCCTTCAGCAAGCTACTGAGCCAATGGCTGGAAGATCAGCCAGCTGCAGATGAAAGAACTTCGATCTGCAACCCTACTGGAGGGCATAGGGTAGGCGACCACTAGGTTAGCTAAATAAAGTTGTGCCGAATTCCGCTCCACTGCAGTTGTTTGCTAACCATTTACATTTAAGCGATCAATTAACGCATCTTCCAGCTCCCTGACGCCAGAGACTGGAGGACTACTGTCTGAATCACTAACTCAAAATCATCGAATCCGGCTCAACCACCCGCACTACCCCCGCACTTTCGGCCATCTCATTGGCTAAATAGGTTACATGCGTATCCACGAAAGTGGAATTCAGCGAAGTCCCAACACAACTAGCACATGTTGCACACCCACCATGTGCACAAGCAGATCCACCACCACCACCACCA